TCTTATGAACTCAAAACAGCTTACTTCATTCTCCTCCTGCTGCTTTCACCCACAATAGCCACCCTGGGAGGCAGGTTGGGCTGGGAGTCTGTGCCTGGCCCAAAGTCACCCACTTGGCACCATGGTTGAGCGGGGACTAGAACCCAGGTAACTTGAGTCTCAGGCCTGGGCTCTTAACCACTACTCCACACTGGCTCTTTGGGTCATGGGCCTTGATACACAGTGTCGATGACCTGAATGCACTGACTGCAGCTGACTGGGATCACGGCAGAAAAACAAATCCACTTCTTCTAGAAAGCTACTCTATCTATGCCCGTTGAAGCCACACTGGTGGCTTTGCAGCCGCCCTCTTCTCCCAACATAGGATTGGCTTTTCCCATTTCTTTCTTGATTCTTCCCCCACCCCCATTTACTGCTACTAATGCTTTTGCTACCTTCCTAGGCAGAAGTGTTCCAAAAGAAGTATTTTCCCATGAACCTGTAATGTTATACATTTAATTTCCATTGTGCTGATCTTAATGAAGAAAACCCAGAGAGATGAAGAGCAATTGTTTAGGACAAGGGAGGAATTCAGAAAGCTCTCAAGGTATCTCTTCCTCTTGTTTATTTTTCATGCCATTCAGGTGGATCTGGAATGGGTAATGGGTTCCCAATTCCTGGCTGGTCTTTCTGGGAAGGGTAACCTGACTACAATTTCTTCGGTGCATAACTTAAAAGAACTGCTCATGACAAACCGTTTTCCTTACTCTCCTAAGAATGAAAGGTAATGGCTAGAAGCATGCCAAACGCAGGCACCCAATCTAAGATCCAGACTTCAGATGCTGTTGAGGTTAAAATGTATTCTGAAAGTGTTCATTAGTGCAATATTTACACAGCAAGTTTTCCCTGGTTCACTACGAATATTCTAAAAATTGATTTTATTTGTACATCCACTTCTTTATTATTGTAAATAAAACTATTTAAGGAAACCAGACCATTGGGCGTTATTGTGCTGCCTGCACACTGCGTGTATCAGCAATATGTCAAGATACACAGAAAGGAGCAATTTTACAGAATGCCTTTGTAGAGTAAAAACAGACTACAAACACAATACTCGGATGGAACCCTTTATAATCCTTGAACAACATCAACAGTTTGAACGGGATGAGTGTATTTGTGAAGTCCATTCCCTACAGCACACATGCACTGATCCACAGCAGTTGACCAAACGTCTGCATTATGAATCCCATGTGTTGTGCCCTTCGCAATGGCGATGTATGAAATTTTAAGTAAACATTGGAGTATTTTTAATTAATTGTAATTAATACAAGTTAAGAAGCCAAAGAGTTGTGTCTTCCATAAACTGGAAACCTCTCAATTTATTGAACATTTCATAACCCATAAAGTGCTCCTCCTCAAGTTCTTTGTGGATTTCCCCTCAAAAACCGCAGACTGTTGAGTCGATAGTCGGCATATGTGAACTGGACCCAACATGGACCCAATCCAGCCTTGCATGAAGATGCTGGGGAAGCAGAATCTGCCACATGTCTGTGACACCCTGCAGGCCTTATCTTCTCAGGACAATTAGCATATTCCCCAAAGGGCAGCCTTTTGGTCCATAAAAGGGTCGCAGGGACTGCACTCTTCGGCAGCTGCTGCTCCTTCTATCACTGCAACCTTATAATGAGAAAAGTTGCATCTAGGGAACAACTGTTTCCCTCTGAGGAGAATCAAAAGTCCTGTCCCTTTGAGGACTTTGCTCTTCTGTTCATGGCTGCTATCCCCCCCCCACCCCAAATTCCTACTCTTGTCTCCAATGTGGCTGTTCTTTACCCTTTCACCCCACATGATCTCCACAAAGATTTCACTTAGCTAGTGTGGCTGCCACCAATATGTTAAATCCTGAGTCCTGAAATAATTTACATATTACACTGCAAGAAGTCACACCTGTGTGATTTATGTCATTTTAAATCTCATCACTTTTCATATCTGATCACCAATCTGCAGCCCTTATAGCAAAGAGTATAGCGAAGCCACTCTGGCTGTGGGTTGTGGGTTGCACCAAACTGCAAAGATTATCCTTCTTGTCCTGGCATTTTTCTGATGTTCTGTAAGTCCAATTCATACCGGCAAGAGCGTCTGAAGAGAAGCTGCTAGATGCATACAAAGCGGGATGATCTCAGAACTTATCTACTGTAGCTCCTGTCCTAGACAGATTTAGTTGGGGGCAAATCTGACTGATTTAAATGGAACTTCCTTATTGTGGCAACAGATCTTTAGGACATACTTGTATTGAAATGTGTGATGCAAGTACTTTAAAAAAAGTTACGTGTCCTTCCACAGCCTTCCCCAAGCTAGTGCCCTCCAGATATTCAGAACTACAAGTCCCATCAGTCAGCTTAATGCTCAGGCACTATGGGAGCTACTGTCTAAATCATCTGAAGGGGTGCCTTATTGAGGAAGGCTGTTCTACCTGCTCCTAAAGCCTTGAGGTGCATAACAACTAATATCTAACAGTGAGGACCTAAAAGTCAGCATGAGTGACACTTTCCGTCACAGCTCCTCCCCAGAGCGAAGATGCTCTTGAAAGTTCAGGGACCTGTGAGAGCAGCTTTCAATGAAGCTTGAGGAGCTGCAGCCGGAAATAGAACCACCATCCATCCAAGTTCACGCAAGCGACCAGACATGGGATCCTTTGGAGCCTGCAGTCCCGAAGGCAGCATGTACTTGGTGAAAAAATGCTCCTGCTTCTTCGTGTATGAAAGTCCAAGGCTCCTTATCAGCAGCCTTCAAACAGCAATGGGAAACCTTTTACATCTGCGGAACACATTCTCTGGTTGCTTTTTATGTTGTCTTGCATATGCTTTTTGCACAAGTTGCTGGTGAAGGGTTCTAGCTGCTGTGCATGTGAACAGGTTCTCTTTGAGTTGTGGCTATAAGGTGGAAGTAGGTCCCGTCATTTCATCTTGGCATCTGGGAGTGAGCTAGGTAGAAATGCTAACCAATTATAAACTTGGGGATCAAATCCTAAATGATCCTGGCAGAATGATCACAATGATTCCATAAAAGCTAGTAATTTAATTGAAGATAATTGCAGGAGAAAATCTTAGGGATAAGAAAGGAAATGCCAAAGTTTAGGAACTGAATGGCACTAAAGGAAGAAGGGGAAAATGGATAATTGAAAGCTTGTCTAAATATTATTTGATCTTTTGAGCTAAGAACTTCTGGGGAGGGAAACAGTAAGGCAAATGCCAAAAACTAGTTGGACAAAACCGGTAGGCTTTGTATCTTATCTATGAGAATCAGACTATGGGTGTCATGCGAGTTTTTACAGTCATAGTCTACAGTCTTGCACTGATAAAATCAAATTTGACAGTAGCACAATATAGAGGTTTAACTGACAGCACACACAGCACATTTGCTAGTCATAACGCCACAATTTAATGACTGATGCATCTGGGAAGCTAATTCAGATTTTTTTTTTTCCTGAATGGGATAAAGGAGCATCCAGTTAATTCCAACCATGAATTCAAGCTATGTGACAAAACTGATGCTACATACCCTGTTCTTATTCTGCATATTCTGCAAATTGAACTGCAGGAAAGTCACTTTGTACATACATCCGGAGAGAAAATTCATTCTGCATTTTGTACATCCACCAGTAGCGACTGAATGTATCCAGCTCACTACTTTCATATCAACAAAGTAATCAGCCTTTCTCTTTTAAATAGCCTAAAGAATTACAAACTGTGTGCCTGTTTTGAGAAAAAGTACAGGTTATAGAATTATACAAGTAGATATAGTATAAATAAAATATTCATATAAAAATAGTCTCTTACAAAATATACTCTTTTATCCTATGGTTCATTTTCCAAACATGGAAATTTGTCTGGAGTTTTGCATTTATATGTGATGCATTATTCCCAACTGGATTTTTGTAATGCTCCTTTTAAAAAAAAAAAACTTGAAAAGTTATGGACTGGAACTACACAGAGATCAATGTCAACTTAAGATTCCAGACAGCTAGCAGCATACAGCAAAAAAAATAAAAATAAAAATAAAAAAGATGCCTGCTTTTGTACTTAGTATCTATAATTGCAGAAAAATATCCTGCAATTCCAACTAGTAGAAATATCTGAGTAAACAATAATATATACAGCTCAAGGGTCCCTCCACTTTCCATATCTACAAAATTATTCCACAAAAAAGCAGGCTTTCTACTTTAATTGCAGAATGGTTTCAAAAAGGTTGGTAGAGTCTGTTTTAATTAAATAAATTAACATTAGTTTTATCTGGATAAATTGTTAAATATTGCTATTATTATTATTATTATCATTATTATTATGCCCAGATGTCCCAATCCCTCTGCTAAATCTGCAGCACGACAAAAAGGCAGATAAACCAGTGTTTATATGCAAAACATCAACAATTCTACTTGCAGTAGTGCATTGTCTGAAAAATGGAAAAGACAAGGAATGATCGGCAGAAGCTTTTCACAACTGTAGAAATCCCTACATCTGTATAATCCACACTCTTAAATTGAAATTCACACTGGTATATTGTTAGCCCATCCTGTGCAAAGACCAAGTGAAAGTAATGTTTGTTCTCCAGCCCCATTTCTGCACGTGTATTTCAGTTTCTGTCATCCAGTTCCAAAAAAGACATTACCAACATCCTTGCTTTCTCTCATTGATATACTTATATATAGATAGATATATAATCCCTTAAGGCAGTTAATAAATTACGTTTTGAGAGCCCAAATCATTAACAACTTTCTCCCCGTTTATTTGTTTCCTGTACTGGTGACGTATTTTTTCTTTCCTTTTTAAAAATTCTGCTGTAGTTTTTTGGACTCTTCCTCTGAGTCTCTGATAGGCAAATCCACACACTTGCTGACATATTAAGAGGGAAAGATGGACTCCATCTGCTGGCTTTGCTTTTGGAAAGGGGGCTGGTCTTTGCTACAGTCTTGTGTAGGTACACTGAGCTTATGTGCAAAAAAAGTGTTTATTCAAGGGCCATCGGTCCTCCCTCCCAAGCTACCCTTTCATTTACAGGTGTACACTTCTGTTCGTTCACTGCATGTATTACATTTAACATAACAGCACCAATGAAATTTACAGTTGCACTGCCACACTCTTGAATACTGGTGAGTATTATAACCTCGTCCACAACACATCAGATCGCAGCCGTTGGTCTGCTGGGCTGTTTTGTTGCACATTCGGCCCTGTGTCCCCACACTGCCTGTGACGGGGTCCTCTTCACAGTAGTTGGGCGATTTCTCTATGTACACCAAATCTGTATCCATGGGCTTACGGTAGGAGAGCGGCTTCTTTATCTTCAGAAAGGTTGGGCGCTTATTACGACTTGCCCTCACTGGTTCCACCTGAACAGCTTCATTGTATTTGTCCTTAAGGATATAGCCCAGCTCCCTGAATTTGGGAAGAGTTGTCCAGCAGGTTTTGGTTGTGCATGATCCAGACACACCGTGGCACTTGCATTCCAGCTTCATGTTCTCTTCAAGGATCTAGATGGACAGAAAAGAGGATGTCACATTAAAAGCAGAAGTGGGTGGAGCAGATGGTGTGCTTAAAACCATTTAAGAATGTGTGATGCAATGTAATTGTGCTCATCTCTGTTCCCAAATTATCTCTGTAATTGAATTCAATTATGAAAGAACCGCTACAGACACAACACACACACTGATGTTTGTGGAGTCCTGTATTCTGAGGCTGGTAATTCTTTTTAACAGTTATGCCATAAATGATCCAGCTACAAACACTTGTGTTGGAAAAGCAGTTTGCTGAGCTAGCAACATTTCAAAGAAACCACTGTAATGTTGTCTTATTTGCTGCTCCATTGAAATGTCCTCAAAACTACTTATCTGGAAATTTGATCCACCTCTTGGAGCTGACTGCCCACAGATAGGCCAATTAGCCTAATCAAGGGATCTTTTACAGGTCTATGGAAGATACAGAAACAACATGAGCCTCCTTGCACCTTAAAGATGAAGGTTGACTCCAGGATCTGCCTTTTGAGAAAAGGCCCCTGCTCAAGGGAAGGCCCTCTGGGCATCTCCACACACACACCCCAGCTCTCCCCACTCAGCAGGGTCTCCTGACTCTCTGTGTAGCATTTTCAGGAGCCCTGTGGAGCTGCTGTGGGAAGGCAGCACAGTCGATCCCACTGAAACCGGGCCCAACCCAAACAAATATATTACACCGTAGGGTTTCACAGACCAGAGTCCTCTTCACTGTTGCTTTCCAGGTGGGTGTGAGATGGAATCCCTCAGCCCCAGGAGAGCCGTGGCCAACCCTGGAAATACTTGGGAGCATCCCGACCACGCACCTTCTGAAAGGGCTGAGCAGTTGCCCGGGTTCAGCTGTTTCCCCTTGTACAAGGGAAAAGAGAGGGACACACAGCAGCATAGCAAGACAACGCTGTGCATCTCACAGAGTAATCCACTCTGAATGAGCATCCCCTGACATGGCCAACTTGCCCTCTATTGAAATAATCTGGGAAATCTGCACGGGAAGGAACGCAGCGATGTGCCCGGGACTTTGGACTGGAGCAGCAATGCCTTGGTGCTGCTATTGCAATGAGCACAACTTGGATCATCTGCAGGATCAGTGATTTTCACTGCTGTTTGATCGTGTAAGTGAAGCCTTGTTTAAGCTTCGCTACAGCCTTTCCATGCCCCGCAAATCCAAAAGAAGAGACAATGGCAACAACACAGATGGACACCCTTTGTAAAATCTCCATTTAGGGAGGCACAAACTATGCTGAAATTCAAATACCTTACGCAGTGTTTTTGCATGCCACACTTCTATACTTTTCCACTCAGTGCCCGAGTTCCAGTTCAGCCCATGGATAGACAGTGACCGCAGAGGGAATCAACGGCTCCATTGGAAAAAGCTGAGCAAGCTGCTGCAATGGATCAACAGCTGAAAGGGCTCCTGGCATGTGTTGAGCTTGCTGTTCTCTGCGATGTATCGTAATGCCAGCTGGAACCAGCTTTGGGTCTGAGCAGGGCTGGGCACCAGTGGCTGTGGCCAGTTTTTGCTCATATTAAAGCATACAGCACTTAATCTCCCCTTTATGGGGAGGGGCTGTACTGCAGCAGAGTAAGTCTTTTCCATCTCGGGATTTCTGCACAGAAGGGCTCAGCTAAACAGGGCTGGGAGACAGTTTTGTGAAGACCCTGGTGAGCCAGTGCTGGTCAAGGGCTTGGATGCAGGATCAGTCCTTTGTGAGAAAGGGCCTTTTGCAGAAAGTCTCTCCACCAGGTTTTGGGGGTCCTGCCCTCCCAACAGAGCTCACCCCCTTCAGCTGGCTGGCCTACTGACTCTCAGTGCAGCATTTTCTGTGAGCTGGCAGGGCTGCCAAGTGAAGCTAAGGGCAGAGAAATTCTGCCAGTGCAGTTGATCCCACATACATCTGGATCCAACTCGAAGTAGACCAACTATTCTTGGGAGCAAAGAGGAGGCACCTCTTTATTGCCAACTTCAGTGTGTTCCCAAAGTTCACTATGATTTTTCCTAAAAACCAGCATCTCATTTTAGTAATTCCATCCCTTTTAATCAGCCCCTCCCTCTCTGAGGTTATGAAAAAATTATTCATTACAACATTGCACTTGTATCCTGCCTTTCTTCCTTTTGTGGGAAACCCAAGGCAGTGTTCAGAGCTCCATTTTGTCCTCACAATAACAGCCCTGTGAGGTAGGTTGGGCAAAGAGTGAGTGACTGGCCCAAAGTCACCCAGGGAGCTCCATGGCTGAGTGGGGACTACAGCCTGGATCGCCCACAAGTCCTCAGCCCAACACTCAAACCAACATGCCGCAGCGGCTCTCTTCCCTTCTCCCTGAACCTTGATCGTACGCCAGAGCTTAGATGCAAAGGACAGAACACAGATTGCTAGTTCCCCTCACAGTTAGCAAAGGGCAAACTTCCGCCGAGGCACCCTATACAACCACTGCTGTTGCTGAGCTTGCCTACAGCATTTTTTGAAATGGACAAGATGCTTTAGCAGACTCTGTGGCACAGGCTAATTTGAGAGACACCGACACAAGCAGCACATCCCGGTGCTCGGAAGGGCCCCTGTGTTCAAAGGGATACACTCCCAAGTAAGTGTGCTCCGAATGGCAAAGCAAGTGAGCTTCATGACCGAGCACAAAGGTCAAACGGGTTTCCACAAGACCTAACCAAACTGTGGAGTTCACTGTTGGCAGAGCTGCATGTTGACCCTAATCCAGCCCTAGTACGTTATGATCGCTGTCTCTGCGGCCCCGGCAGAATTTGAAAAGGAGGACTTGTCTGCCACAGGTAAAACCCTGCCATTCAAATTGTAACCATAGCGAGATGTTTTGTCTTCAGATTGCATGAGCAACCCCTCCCCCCACACACACCTACAGCCATACACAATAAAACTACTGTGGTGTTGACTACTTTAAATGCTGACAAAGGCACTCTTTTTAACCTTGCCTACATTTTCTCTAAGCCCCTGAAAGAACTGATGGGACTGGACTTGTTGATCTGTCTGGGAGTCTCTCTCTCTTTCTCCCCTCCCCACCACCTCCCATTCATTGGCATGACATGGCTGAGGAAAATTGTGCTGCAGTGTACTGTGTGGCCATGCAGACTCAGGGTGATGAGAGCTGTAGTCCAACACAGCTGAAGGCAACGAGCCGGAAGAGCTGGTATGGATGCAAAGGTAAGGGCACAATCCTGTTGAGATGCATGCAGACCTCCCAGCCAGGAAGCGCCACCACTTCCTCAGCTCTGCATGTTTGCCACACAGGTGCTTTTGGCTGTTTAAGGCAGAAGAAGAAAAGGAAGTGTGAGATGGACTGGCTCCATAAAGGATGCCACGGCCCGAATTTGCAGGCGCTGAGCAAGGCTGTCATTAGACAGCTGTCATTCATAGGGTTGCCATCAGGCTGAAAATGACTTCATGGCACGTAACAAAGTGATGAAAGCTCCAGAGGGGGGAATGAGGTGCAGCAGCTTCAGGACATCTCATATCTGGGCTATTCCAGTCTTCTCTCCTCCCTGCCCCACACAATGCCCCCTCTAACCACTCAGTGAGGTTGCCTTCAAGTTTTGTGGGGGGGGGGAGGAGTCCAGAACCCCAATTCCCAGCTGCAAACTCAGAGTGCTATCTTTCCTACAGCTTTGGACCTGAGCATCCAAATTATCTTATGGCTGCTCAGAGAATCTCTAGGGATAAAGCATCATTCCCTCTGGGATTTAAAACACTCAAAGAAAAGGATTTGCAAATATAACACGTGCTTTTTGAAATGTAGTGCTGCTTACAATCTTCATCCATTAGAATCAATTATATTTATGTATATATGGGTGTCTGCAGGAAGGGGCAGGAGACATTCACCCCTCTCCCTAATAAACCATAATCCCTGGATTTCCAGCTTTCATTAAACATAAGCAGGAATCCAGCCCTTGTATACACCAGAATAGGAGAGGAAGTGTGCAGCCACTCTTTTGCCTCTCTTCTAGCCTGCTCCCACCTTTTCATCTTTTTAGCCAATGAATGAAGTCCTAACGATAGTTAACATCTCCATCTGAGTATGTTAAGCTTTCTAGCTCTTCTCTTTTCAGAAGTAATTACAGCCTCGTTTAAAAAAAATAAAAATAGAGAGAAATTCAGGAATTTCACTTAGTTTGGGCAGTTGTGTGTTCATCAGAGCAGCAAGGGTGGAAAGAAATTGTGCAGATGCTACTGAGCAGCAAGAGAGTGGTACACCTGGTATATGCATTTCTGAGCCCAGATCAACCTAACCTGGGAGAACTGGTGCCCAGGCCTTGTCACTGTTCAGTTCCCACAAGTACCAGAAATAGCTGACCTGTTCTCTGATGCTATCAGCCCTTTTTCAAAATGTGCAACCACACAAAATGTACAGTTCCAAGATGGATGTGCAATTCTTTTTTAAAGGCTGCTGCTGTTTGAAGCCGTGCAAAATGCTGTATTGTTACCTGATGTAAAAATAAGCTGCTAACAATGTGAAAAGTAAAGTGAGTAGTTGATCCCAATCAAGCATAGCGTTTCTCCTAAAGACAATCCCACAAGCTCCTGCTTCTTTCTAAAACAGCCTTCTTCATCCTGGTGCCTTTCAGATTTTTTTGACCTCAACTGCTCTCCACACTATTCAGCATGGCCCATCCTCAGGAGTTGTGCTTCAAAACATCTGGAGGACATCAGGTTGTGGAAGACTGCTCTAGAGAATGTCCACTGAGATTTCCAAGGGGAAGGAAATCATTCTGGGACAAGACAGGTGAAGCTGTCAGTAAGGGCAGTGATGTCACAAACTTTCTTAAGAACATAAGAAAGGCCTTGCTGATCCATCCATCCAACGTGCATCCAGTCCAGCACTTCGTACACACGATGGCAAATCAGTTGCCCACCAGATCCCTCAAGCAGGATGGGTACAAGACCCCTGCCTGCCCAAGCTCCTCAACAACTGGTGTATGCAGGCAGTCCATCTTGGGTAAGGGAGGAAGCCCAAAGTCTACAAGG